CGATAACTATATGTTATTTTAATCGACAGATCGACAAAGTATTTATTTTATCTCCACTAAATTATCGAATAAATTTCTTTTTTACCCCTTCTCTTTTTTTTCTGCTCTTGAAATATTACAACCATGATCGTGTTTTTTTACGAATCAAAAACAGGTTTTCAGTGTTATCTACAAGTTTATGAATATTAATTTATAAATATTTTTATATAAAATTACGATTTATTCATGACTTTTCATGTGACTCATATAAAAAAAAAACGTAATGAATCTAATTATAATATATATATTAATTTATTTATTTATTTGTTTATTTATTTATTTGTTTATTTATTTATTTTTAATTTATTCAATAACAAAAAGAAAAAATATTGCATAAAATTATATAAAATTATATTGCAAAATAATAAAAAATAAAAACGATTTTATATTATATATTATATATTATATATTATATATATATTAATGACTTCATTTTTTATAAATTTTGAATTATTAGCAATAATTTATTTCTTTTATTTTTAATACTACAGTTATCGGATTTTGGACACAGATATTAAATCTATTTGTCTTAATGTCCACTTCCGTTAGAAGCTTATAATTATAAATAAATAAAATATAAACCAATTGCTTTATTATATATAGACATGTAGATATTTGTTTAATTATTAATTTTTATTAATAACATTTGAGGATACGTTTGTATAATTTTATTATAGTACAACGTATGTCTCGATATTGTAAAAATTGTTTTTTTCTTTCATTTATTTATTTATAATTATTATTATTATTATTATTATTATTATTATTATTATTATTATTATTATTATTATTTGCAATTTGATCGAATTGGAATGAAAACGAATTATAAAAATGAATTATTAAAAAACGTTGCCTTTAAATGATCAATAAATATCATATGAAAAGATCGTGTTAATTGTATATTTTCATTTTTATTATTTATATTATTTTGAAATAATGTAAAAAGGAAAAAAAATGGATTTAAAAAAAAATTACCGAAATAAATTATTGGCAAATAATATATATCAAATTATTAATAAATATAAATAAATATTATTATTATTATTATTATTATTATTATTATTGTTGTTGTTATTACTATTATTATTATTATTATTATTATTATTATTATTATTATTATTATTATTATTATTATTCTCCTCTAAAAAAAAATCTGTTTAGAAGAGAATTTTTATTTGAAAAAAAATTTTCTAAAAATTCAAAAGAGAAGAGAGATTAAGAGAAAGCGAGATAAAAGATACGTGAAGTGATTTAAAGAGAAAGAGAGAGAGAGAGAGAGAGAGAGAGAGAGAGAGAGAGAAAGAGAGAGAGAGAAGTATCACGCGATACGACGAGGTCTAGGCCGACATTATACCATTGAGTCGACAAAACGATCTCATCCGGTTTACGAAATAATACAACTCTGAAGCTGAAGATCTATGGATCTTATCTCGTGTTACGATTAAATCCTGCGATCATAATTTGATCATAGACAATCAATGATAGTCGAGAACGAATGATCGTCGTATAAAATTGATTACTTATTTTATTTTATTCTATAAATTTTTTTATTTTTTTATTTTTTTTTTTTTTTGTATATAACTCTTATCAGTCAAATCAATATCATATATGCAAGTACACAATTATATACTTAGAAAAAAGAAAAAAAAAAAAAAATAAAAAAAAAAATAAAATAAAAGATTATTTCAAATTTACTATTGTAAAAACAAACCATATCTCTTTACTACGTATATACGATTTATATATATATATATATATGTGTAGTAGAGAGATTATATAATATATAAAAATATAATTTTCATTATACATTAAACAAATTTTATATATATATATATATATACATGTAGATACACGTACGTAATCTATTATGAATCATTTCATAAATGATACTGATAAATAACATACATGTACGCGTACTCACATATACGTACATACGATCACACACATATATATATATATATATGTATATATATATATATATATATATATATATATATATATATGTATATATAAACACACACACATATACATGCGCAATGCGAGAATGTACACGAATAAAAGCAGTAGAGAAACGATAAATTGAGATGAGAGTATCTTTCACGTTTCCACGAGAAGATGCTTCGTGTCCGGCTTTTATCTTCGCGAAACGGATTCCATGGGTAGCTACTACGTGTACCATGGGGATTGTCTGGAGAATTTCGAGCGAATTAAATCAGATCGTCGTCGGTGCTCTTTTTCTCTTTCTCTTTCTCTTTCTCTTTCTCTCTCTCTCTCTCTCTCTCCTCTCTCTCTCTCTTTCGTTCTCTCGCTCTCTTTCACTTGCTTTCTCTCTCTCAGAAATTCCTTTGAATTAATCCGTGCGTTCTACGTGGAGAATCGTGAGAAAAGGAAGCTCTTACTTAAAAATGATAAAAGAAAAAAAAAAAAGATTTATTTCCTTCGTTCCATTATTATTATTGTTATTATTATTATTGTTATTATTATTATTATTATTAAAAAATCGTTTTCAGATAATTGTTTAATAATTTCTTATTTATTCTTTCTCTCTTCTTTTTTTTTTTTCTTTTCTTTTTTTTCTTTTTTTTTTTTCTTTTTTTTTTAAGACGATCGATCAAAATTCCTGATTCATAAAAAAAGAAAAAAAAAAGAAAAAAAAAATACATTGTATTCCAATAAAAAAAAAAAAAAAATGAGAGAGAGAGAGAAATGTTAAGAGATTTGATATAAATATTGAAAATTTCAATATTGAAGTAATAAAATAGAAATATTAAGAAGTATTTAAAAGAGAGAAAAAAAAAAAGAAAAAGAAAGAAAGAAAAATTAGAAGGACAAAAAAAGTACAAATTTATTAGATACTAAGGAATAATATTCATTCATTATTAATATCGATAACCGTAATTACGGAAAACTGTTCGATAAATTTAATAAAAATGATAATTCAATTAAGAAACGAAAAGAAAATAAAAAAAAAAAAAAAAAAAGAAAACAGAAAAAAGAGAGAAAAATAAGGAAAAGAGCAAAAAAAATTAAATGAGAAAGAGAGAGAGAGAGAGAGAGAGAGAGAGAGAGAGAGAAGAGAGAGAGAGAGAGAGAGAGAGAGAGAGAAAACATTTAATTCCATTTCGTATTGAAAATGTCGATGAAAGATAGAAAGAAATGCACTTCTCGTATAGTACAGATTCACGATGACCAATCGTCCGTAACCATTATATATTCATAAAACGCACGTGTTTTAAATCATATCGAGCGTAAAATCGAACGATGGAAAAGGAGGATGGTGATTTTTTTTAGGTGTGGGAGGGGGAGGGGTAGGGGTGAGAAAGGCGTGGGATTAGATGGGTGGAACGAGTGAGGAGGAAAAGAACAGAGTAAATCGAATGTAAATTTTATGATCTGCCACTATTGTTATCATAGTATCGCCGTTATTATTATTATTATTATTATTATTATTATTATTATTATTATTATTATTATTATTATTATCATCATCATCATTATTATTGTCGTTAATTAGTTTTATAATATAAAACAATATGAAAGTGAATTTAATTATTGATTTATAATTCATAACTTTTTTTTTTTTTTTTCACGTTCATTATCCATATATTCATATTATCGAATATTTTGCGAATTTATTATGTTTTTTTTCTTTTCTATCTTTTTTTTTTCCTTTTTTTTTTTCTTTTTTTTTTTTTTTTTTCCTTTTTTTTTTTTCTTTTTTTTTTTCTTGGGGCTTTGGTGTAAACCATTGCCACGTGTATTATCGAATAGAAAAGAAAGAAAATTAATTACACGATTTAGTCAATTTATTTTTTTCTTTTTTCTTCGTTTTTTTTTGTTTTTTTTTTTTTTTTTTTGTTTTTTTTTCTCTCAGATACTAAATTGTATGAGTTTAGTTTTGCAACCGAACGAAAACGAAAGAACAAGGAAAATGTTAATTTATATATTGCATACTCGTTCTATTTTTTTTTTTTTTTTTTTTTTTGGATCTTTTTTTCTTTTTCTCTTTTTTCTTTTTTTTTTCCTTTTTTTTCTTTTTTTTTTTTTTTTTTTATTCTTACAGATAATTATATATTTCTCTGGAAAATATTTTTGAATATTTAAAAGTAAAAAACAAACAAACAAACAAACAAAAAAAAGAAGAAAAAAAAAGAAAAAGATAAAAGAAAAAGAAAGATCAAGGACGACAGACGCGTAGAACGAAATCGAAATTAACTGCGTCTTCGTTCGTATTATATTTTGCAACTATGAAACTATACAAGCATTCATGCTGGTCATTAAAATCATGTAATAGATCTAACGGTAAATTTAGATCGTTGCAACATGATTTTCCATTTTCTTTTCTTTTTTCTATTCTCTTTCTCTTTTTCCTTCTCAACATTATCGAGAAGTGAAATAGCAGCCTTTCATATCATGTATAGATTGAATTCCAAAGGTGATGAATGTATTTGAAGAATTCGAAATAAAAAAGTTTCGAGTGTATGAGAGAGACAGAGAGAGAGAGAGAAAGAGAGTGAGTGAGAGAGAGAGAGAGAGAGAGAGAGAAGGCAAAAAATTAATAAATTTATTTTTGTTAATAAATCGAAAAAAAAAAGAAGAAGAAAATAAAACTAAAATTATTCTTACTTTTGTTAATTAAAATTT